CTTTTATTAAATTCTGCCTGACAATTATAAATATACCGTTTATCATGCTTCCGGGCCAATGTGAGCATTTGTCAACCGTGCCAGTCCAAAAAAACTTCGTTTTCACCAGGATTATCGCCCATTCCCTCTATTTTATACATAATATTTTGAGAAATAATCTTTGACTTTATATAAACAAAAAAATCAAGTTAAGTGCAAATCAGCTGAAAGTGACAAATAGAAATTTGAAGATGGGTATAGGAGTGAGTTAATTACGTGCTATTTGATGCAAAACAGCCTCGATGAGTATCTAAGCAGCACATTCTCGCAGCTCTCAAGCCAACTCTCGAATGCCTTGTGGTACCGATTCTAAAGCAGACAGGAATATTGAAATAGTGCTGAATAGAAGACGTAGCAAAGACTTAGAAAATGTTCCAAGATAGTGTAAAAGCCGAAGTACTAGCATAGAAATGCTAAATTTCTTGTCTATTTAAAAGAAAGCTTACTTCTCCAGCAAAATATGGTACAAAGCGAGATCGGAGATTGAGATTAGCGCTGAAACAAAGCAATAGTTATGTACATTCGGAATACTAAGAACCCATTTGTTTCAGAAGATATCGAATCGCATAGAATAGAAACTGGGAGGCATAAAGTGCCTGGAAATGTTGATTAAAAATGGTCAATAAGCACTGAGATAAAGGAATTGCAGCGTTGTGGATTCACGTATCCACGACGACTCGTAGGCGCCCTATTAATGCTGTCCACGGGCCCGGATTCCACGAACTTTTGCACATTCTGCTCTTTGACTATCTCTCGCCCGCCCAATAGAGAATGATTGTCTTTATGCCGTCGAGGTCGACGCATTGAACACGGAGTCAGGGTAAGTTGATTCCAACGTCTGAATGTGAAATTAATGGGACAGGGTGTCATCAAGTCAATCAGTGGTCGCCCGGGCGATGCGTCCAAGTTCAACACGGAGGTTGCAGTGGACTCTGTTGCATGAGCCGAGGCATGAAACAAAGAGATGGCATGGCGGTGCCCATAAGTACGTGACGACTGTCGATGAACAGTCAACCAGGCATTCTGGCCGGGGGCAGTCGAGATTGGGTAGTCGCCAAGGTCACCGTCCGAGTCTGCGAGGCGAGAAGAGGCTGACTCAATGACTCGGAAGGTATTATCGTGCGCTGACTCGCCCAATTCACAGAGCCCCTGCTGAGCCTCGCGACTGGCGATCGACGTGGCCGGTTGTGCTTGATCGAGATCATTGTCCTCTCTGCTAATAGGATCACAGTTATCATCAGTGCTGCTGTGACTGCTACTGCTTGAGAGTGATGAAGAACAGCTTCCTTCACCGGCGGCGGCATTGGGACGATGATAACGAGGCATGGTCAACTCGACTGGCCGCAAAAAGCGCAAACCCTGTGGGCCACACATCACAACGGGGCTGATGAGGCGAAATTTCCGACTGGCCGAATCCGATTTTCGCACGGAATATCGCCATTCTTGGTGGGACGGAGAGGCCGACTGGTCAGAGTCAGAACAGGAGGTACCAATGTCCAGAGATGGTGACAAATCCGCCTCATACACCTGAAAATAGGCGAAAAAGTAGCATTTACGGCCGCATAATGGCATTTGTATAATGCATTGCAGGCAAAATGTTGAGTAGATGTGTGGAAAAAGTGGACACGCTTCCTCAACCAGGCTCCTGAATGCATATCTTCTGTACCACTCAAGGTTATTGTTAATAGTAAGGGTTGTGTGATGCAGAAAACATCACGATTTATGTGCCAGCAAACAAAGCAAATCCCCGAGGCACGCTAGTTTCCAACAAGCAATTGTTATTAATGTGTTTAGAAGGTTGGTAGTTGCTTGTTAGTTTTGACGTAGACTCGATGCACGCTAACAATGCTGCAAGCGGAGCTACACACGCTCTAGAAATAGCATTGGATCACAATTGGAATAGTTCGGCATGTACAATTGTAGGTAATGAGTCGTTAGTGATGCGGACGAGTTAAGTCATGTACCTACCAGTTGATGCATTTCATTTTCTTTCAAGTGTCAGTTGTACAAACCAACACGAGGCTTGGCTATGGGACCGTGTTTGTGTCCAATTTTACCAAATAACTACATGGACCACTTAGGAAGTAGCCTGCTACAAGAAGCACTTTTAGTTCCCCATTTATCGGTTAAGATGACAACTTTGCCGTTTGGCAATCCGGCAAAGAAACCTAGGAGACTTGCTCACGTTAATGAATAGAACCGACTAGAAGACCAAGTTCACCATGCACTGAAAAGAGGATGCCCAATTAGCAAAGAAGAAAGCGAATTTGGTAGGGATGTATACAGGAAACCCACAAATTACAGCCACCCTTTGACTTCTGGTGAGATCAGCTCATAAAACCCTTCCACTCTTTCTTCGAACAAAATAAAAGCTACTCCAACATCAAAACGTTAAGTACCATAGAGATTTATTCGAGGGAGCTTTCGGGATAGCAAACGAATTCACAGCAGTCTAACATGTCAGTAAATCCCTTTTTCACAGAAAGACGGACGAGATGGCCTTAGCTGAAGTCACTCTTAGTTAGCTTAATTACTACACTGAAATATATAGATTCTAGTAAAATAATAACGCAGTATGAATAACCTTAAAATGAATATGTGATTTCAAGACTAATTAATGCCTTGGGAAAGACTCATTGGGCCACAATGATAGCCCATCGACAAATGGTGGGTAAAGCCAGTATTCCCATAGTTATGTCTGTTCCTCGCACAGTGTTTGGCTGAATGACAAGACTCAAATTAAACGAAGTAAATAGAGACTAGTTGAAATCAGTGAAAATAAACCAGATAAAAATATTTTAATCACTCTAGAAATGGACCTAATTTGACCTGAATTATTCTGAATTGCCCTGAATTATAAAGAGCAGAAGTGAATGAAAACAAACAAAAGCTCAATAAAGCTCTTGATGTTTGATGTCCATTAAATGAAATGATTAATAGCAATTTGCGGCAGGCAAGGAGTCAATGCGTTATGAGAGCGAAAAAGATTGTGGGGACTAATAATAATGGCTATGGAGTGCTATATAATTTAATATTTTTCATTTAAGGTCAATGGTGTTGGTCCAGACAAGCAAAACTTGAGTCAAGGGCTAAAAGCAATATAACGTTAATTAGTTAATTCAGCTATTATACTTCACTTTCCAAAGGAAGAATGAAAAACAACCAATTTGGTTGTAGCCACAAACTTGCAAACTTTCTGTCTACAGTTGAATACAGGCTAGAAAAGCTCTTCCAAAGTATGTCGTTTCCCAGTTATGAAATTGAACTTGATGAAACTTTATTAAAGCACACAAACAATAAGTTGGTCTATATATAGTACTGAAGAAAATTCTAGAAAAAAAGTTAAAACTGCTCTTGCTGGATAAACGGATTAAACGGATTAAACAAAGTAGAAAAATAGTAAATATATATGAGGACCAAGATGTTGTGGCCTCTGTTATGGTCGCAGTCTTCTATAAAAATACTTGTATGCCAAGATGACATTGAAAAATTTAAACAATTGCCCACTTTTGTGGCAGAACTAATCCGTTTTGTTAGAAACTATAAGGCATTTCTTATATTTAATGAGGCAACTAATATGAATTTCGTAAAACTCTTTCGGAATAAAGCTAAGCCTACTATTTTGGAGGATCCGGATATAGCAAAATGGCCGAAAAAACTCTGTTTTAAGAACATTAAACTTGATTTTAATAGAGACTAAAATGTTGACTTTTTATCTCGGCAAGGTAATTGGCAAGATGCATTTCTACATGATAGAATTTGAACTAAAAGCTTTCATGTTTCACAATGTCCTTTCACACAGGTCATCAAGTAGAGCACTTTGGTTGTTTCAAGGCCGTAGCTAAGGTAGGCTGGAGAGATTTATCTTGAAGAAACGGTCACATATAACTCAATTTACTTCTTCTACCAGTCCTTCATCACTTTAAAT